TGTAAATGTACCACATTTTCTTTATCCATTCTTCTGTTGAGGGACATATAAGTTGTTTCCAGTTTTAATTACAAATTAAATTTGTCAATTACAAATAACATTGCTATGAACATAATTCAGCAGGTGTCCTTGTGGTACTGTGGAACATTGTTTGGATGGTGTGGTAGAGCAGGGTCTTGAGGTAGAACAATTCCCAGTTGTCTGAGAAACCATCAAATTGCTTTTTAAAGTGGTCAGACAAGTTTGCATTCCCACCAGCAATGGAGGAATCTTTCCCATGGGCTTTCTTCCCATTCCAATGGAAGAACACCAACATGTGCTGTTACTTGAGACTTTGAACTCAGCCATTCTGATAGGTGTAAGATGGAATCTCAGAGTCTTTTTGATTTGCCAAGTTTTAATAGAGGTCAAAGTTAAAACTGAGAGACAGTGAACTCTGTAAGGAAATGTAATTTTTACATACACTGTTATCTTACAAAGCAGGTTAAATTGATGAGGCTTTATAGGTGTTCTTCTTGCTATCACACACTTTGCCTAAGTGAATGAGGAAGTTTAAATATTCCTTATGAGCTCGCATGAACAAGTGAGTAAATTACCACAAAGCTTTTGTCACCTCATATGAGAAGTCTGAACGCCTCACAGGGATGCAGAACATGTGCTGTCAAGTCTCCAGCTTCATCCCCAGGAGTGACTAACCTGGTCCCATGTGACTTATGTGCTCATTTACTTTACTGTCTTTATCCTGCTTTTGTCTTTCCCAGGAACGTTCTCTATTTCTGTCTTCTGGAAAACATGGTGTTTCTTTCCATCATGAAACATGATGTGCTTTCTTAGAGCCCTTGGCCATGTCTGTCTTTCAGTTACATCCATCCAGGCATTTCAGTTGGTTATATCTTTATCCTTTGTGAAATGACCAGAGGGTATTTCTAATCTTTCAGTCTTTATCTCTCCCATAGTGCTTAACCCATAGTAGATGCTTACCAAATGATTTATTAAGCAAGCCCAATGGAAATAACATTTAAAACTGTGGAAAAAAATGAAGTCTCCAAGAGAAATTTATTGTCATTTTAATTCACATTATATTTAAAAAGCAGAGTCAAATTTGTAAAAAAAAAAAAAAAGTAAAGAATTAATTACTGTGGTAATGCATTATGTTAAACCAATCTCTTACTTTCTAAGAGACTGGTATTTTGCAGGACTTGATAGCTGAGTTAATAATGTGTTTTAAGGTCACCTAAGACTTAAGACTGCCATCCTACTGCATACTCAGCCTTTTTGTTTAACCTGCCCTTTAGAGAACCATGTTAACAGCCTAACGTGTTTACCTTGGATAATCAACTTTTATAGCCTAAGCCAAGGCATGGCTATAATCTTAAATTATGTACTCTCCTATGCTCCCGACGCAGAGTAATACAAGCATGCTGTGATAATCATTTGCTGAAAACAGCAAAAATAGACATCGAAAGCAATCTTATCACATGGATATCCACCATCAATGTTGAGGATGGCACTTGGATATTGCTCGATAGACAATGATGTTTGCAATGCTCAATTGGGTCAATTGGAGGTCAGTTAGCACCAGTGGTTTGTTCACTGGTAAAACTGCTTAAGGATTTCTGGAATGTATCCTTCATCCCCTCCCCATGTGATGCGTCTTGTGAAGCTCAATAACTGCAGAGCGTAGCTCTTTGTGAGGGAGGATGGAAGACACGGAGAAAATGAAGCAGAGAATTCAAATCTGGGCTTATGCATGCTTAGTGACTCCAAGTGCTATGATTTCTTTACTTAAGGTGGCACTGATGCACTATTGGTGACTCAGAGTTTATGATTAATGTGTTTAACCACTGATTGTTGCGGACTTTCCTTAGTAAATATCCTTCTGTTTCGTTTCTTCCCATCCCTTTATTTAAATTTATAAGCAAGTTTTCAACTAAAACAATTATTGTCCATGCTTATTTAGCTAGATTCATATAAGTTACTATTGATTTGAACCATATTAAATTATTCTCCTAAACACTGGAAATAGTTATAGATTAGCAGTTTCTATGTTTCTGTGTTTTAGAAAAAAATGGGGGTGGGTGGGGATCAAGAGCTTAGTTTCTCTTTTGTAGCTGCTTCACAATGCAGCCAGAGTCTATTTACTATCAGTAAAGCAGCCATATGCATTTTAATAGCATTCATATAGAAGAAGGTTTGAGTTCTGGCTACTGCTGCAGGAGGTAAAGAGACTCCAACTCAGGCTGCTAGCCAAGCAAAGGTTGGAAAACCAGTGCTCAGAAAAGCTATAGGTGGAGTTTGCGTATTCTGTGGAAAACTGAGCCATCTCTTTGCATCCGTGTTCTATCCCAGCTCCCGAGAGCAAGCCTCCAAGAGTTAAAGCAATGTACCAGCATTAAAATGTTAATTTGGACCTCTGTGCCTGTTTTAGAATTGAATTTTCGAGGAGTTGATTACATTTCTCTCTGTGGGCTCAGGAAACTGTTAGTCTCACATTATCTAATTTATTGAACATATTTCAGACCTTAGAACTTTTCCGTTAGTTATTCCTAAACAAACATGGGACAAATGAGTAAGACACTGCTCAATGAGCATTGCCAACTAGAGGAAGTACAGCCACAGGGCTATGGGAAAATGAATGACAGGACCCCTGGCCCTCTGAGTCTATACCCTACCAGACAGGGTCTCCCTGTGCTTGATGGGAAAGCTGATGATGATGGAGTCCCATGTTAACAGGAATGCCAGTGTCCGTATCTTTTTTTCCTCGTGGCTGATGTCTTGATTCCCTGTAACTTTCAAACTTAAAATTGTCCCTGAAACAAACTGTGCTGAAAATATCTTTTAAAAATAAGAAGCACATTTAGATTCTGGTGTACAGCAAATTCTCCGTGAAGAAAATTTCCAAATCTGTGACTCTATTTGCATTTCCACAAAAACAGAGAATCTGTGTGCCTAATATGTGACAAATAACAGTGTTAGAAGCCAGCATTTTAAGACTCTCATTATGCACAGGTTCTCATTCTTGCTAGTGTGTTTACAAAGGGAAGTCATATAAAATTTGCAGCCCCCACAACAAAGCTGATATTTTATTTTTAAGTCTGATATTTTTTATTGGATATTTTATTTATTTACATTTCAGATGTCATCCCCTTTTCCCATTTCCCCTCCCTAGAAGCCCCCCCATCTCATCCCCCCTCCTCCTATTTGCTTTTATACCATTTTAATTACATGCAAGTATTAAGGTCAGTTCTAGATTGAGGAACTAGCAATACAATAGATGTAAATAGTCAAGGAACAAGCAAATTAAGTCTGATATTTTAATGCATGTGAACTCACGGTAATGCCAAATAGAATAATTAAGGAATTTTAAAAATAAAAGGTGTTAAGGTGCCACTGTACCTTAGAACCAAAAAGCAGGTTCTAAGATGTAGATGACTCTGCAAAATATCAAGGCACATCCAATGATCAACTCCTGAGAAGGGAGAGAAGGCCCCATGAGTGGGAGATATGGGAGATGGGAGAAGCTGAGCAATGATGCAGGGTTAACCAAGGCCTGGGCCGCCACCCTTCTGTGAGCTCAGGGGAAAGTGCAAATCAAATCCTTAGTCAAATGGCAAAAAATTATTTTCCTATATATGAATTTGGTTATGCATCCAGGTGGACAAACTTGGGAGTGTGGCTAAACCAGGCCACCAACTCCCTTCCCAAATGCAAATGTGAGCACAGCATGCTTGGCTGAGCCAGCAGATGACCCGGGTGGTGACAAGACCTCTGAGACCAAGTCTAAGGACAGTGGGTAACAGCCGCGTGGCACACCGAGTATCTTCAGACAGAAGAGAAAAGGATGGCAGGTGGATGGCAGCTTTCAAAACAATGACTTCCTCCTGTTCCTCCTGGGAGGGTGTGTCCTAGAATGAGTCTTCTTTCTGTCAAAAAGGAGATGATGAGTGTGAGTGAGAGATGAAAGTCCTGCGTGACATTTGAATGAAAAGGACAAATGACCCTGAATTGTTTACCAGACCCACGTAATACAAAGAATGAGTTTTAAAGGCCTCAATCCTGACTCCAAATAATCTCTGTCTCAGGAATGCTGCTCAGGGCTGAAGGAAGTCATAAGTAAAGCATGTGACAAAGATAATAAAGGTTAGTTTAGGCTTGTGGTACAGCTGAGATCGGATATAGAGTAGTGGATCCTCTTCCTCCTCCACTGAGAGAGCTTAGACACTTATTGAGGACACAAATTAGATGATTCTTTGGCTTTGAACAGTCTTTGTTGGATGGGATTAGTCAGATTTCTTTTTTATTGAGGTCTGAACATGCTTAACACTGAATTTATCTAGTGTAAAAGTAGAACTACAGAATTTTCAGACCCAGAAAGGACCTTTGAGAGCAGTTTCCATCCTAATTTCAAAGAAGAAGCAACAAGAAGTCTAACTGGAAGTAGGGTGCTGACATTTCCTCCTAGGGTGCTTTCTGTGCAGGACGTTCCTATGGGGCAACACCCAACCAGGGTCTGCTCACATCAGCATCCTGTCCCCAACTCTTCCCTTAATTGATTGCCATCTTGTTGGCTCTCAGATAAAAATACATTTGGGAATAAATTAGTTCACTAAGCTGGGCAGTGGTGGCACATGCCTTTAATCCCAGCACTTGGGAGGCAGAGGCAGGCAGATTTCTGAGTTCGAGGCCAGCCTGATCTACAGAGTGAGTTCCAGGACAGCCAGGGCTACACAGGGGAACCCTGTCTCACCTCTCCCCCCACAAAAAAAATTAGTTCACTAAATCTGCATGCTTGGCTTTGGCAATCTTTCGATAGCTTGAGGTTTTGCAAGACTGTTGTGTTTAAGAGGCTTAAATTATGACCCTCACATGGAATACATAGAGAGAAAAACTTAGATGCCTTATAGCTTAAAAAAATTACACAAAGACCTATGCTGCTTGTTTTTTTAAGGGCATATCATGGAAGAATACAGCACTCTACACATGTCATATTTTTATTTTAGGTAGGAGAAATGATCACAGGAGGTCAACGAACACCCATGTCTGTGAAAACCACTTCTTGTAGCAGCAAGGAACAAACAAACCCCAGGTATGATGTCCCCAACTGTCTTCATCAATATGACATTTTTCTCTTCATTATCACGTGCTGGAGAGGATGCAGCTCTCCAAGTGGTATAAAAGTTTAATGTTTGAAAATGCCTCAGACCATTCATATTCCTGTTTGTTTCAACTCCCGAGACTCTTGGCTTTCAAGACTGTTGATCTTCAAAACTTCAACCTGTGTCCACGCAGGTGCCAACTGCTTGTGTAAATGGTAGTAAGACCAACAATATCCGCTATGGCTGCTGACATTTGCTGAACACTTGCTTTGTACCCTCATCAATCTATTCAAGCCCCACTTTCTAATGATGTTTTGAGTGTAGCTTGTTGAAACAGTTTAAGTTCATTAAAAAAAAAAGTTCTTGTTAATCCATGTATACTCCCTTGTCACCCAAGCTTCTGGGTTTCCTAGATAGAAGCCTCTATTACTGCCCTCTTTACAGTGTCCTGAGACACTGAGGTCATCTTTAGGTCTCTGTCTAAATTCATTTTCCAGCAGAACCTGCCCTCTCCCAAAAGAAAACTCACCCATTTCTAGTATTCCACACTATTAGAAACCTCTCCTGCAATGTTCTGACCCTGCCTCCTGGAAAGCTTCAATCTTCTGTAAACACTCCAGCATGAAAAGTACCTTGTCCAAAGCTTTCCTGGTTTCCAGGCTCTGGAGTCAGACCTCAGTTCCTTGAGCTATTCTACTTCTCATGAATTCCAGACTCTTAACATCCAGATGGTAAAATCTATTTTGGACTGAGGCAAACTTATCTCTGTGTTCCAAATGTGTATGCTGAATTACATCATATAAAAAAAAATACCTGCACAAGAGCCGTGTTTGTGCTTTGCATCATAAAACCTCAGCTATTTGTATAGCCAAAGACAACTGTGGAGGTTTTGTAGTGACTTTTAAATATTGCATTTGCTTGAACAGATACTGAATTGAGTTTCTACTGAAAACTGACTCTGTGTTTTTAACCTTGGAAAGCCATTCATAATTCCCAATGTGGTGGGTTTCACTCCAGATAACAGATCCTAGGTTACCACAACTTATGTGAATATTATTTATAATCAACCTCAACACTCTCAAGCCATGTAAACAATCTGAACTAATTGGGAAGCTATGGTGGAATAGGAAGGCAAAGCACTGCGGTTTGGAGAGGTTTATTAGAGCCCAGGAAAACTATCGTTACTATGATTTGTTGGCAGTTGGAGATGTCTGAGCAAAGTACTTTTACAAAGTACTCACTTTCATTGTGGCGAAAGCTTTTGTCACAACCCAACATCCAAGGCTCATGTGGAAATTGTTTGTGGAGCCCCTTCCTCACTGACAAACTTCAGTCTACACTTTAGCTCCTCTTTGTGTACATTGTAGCTCTTAACACTGTGCTACAAAGGGAATGTGCTACAGGTTCCTCAAAGGTGGAGTTATTTCTGAGTGCAGGTGCTGAGACCCTCAAAAAAACAATCTTTCATCATCAAAATAGCACTGCACAAAAAAGCTTCTCACTGAGATGCAAAGCTGAATTCACCCAAGATCACAAAACAAGTACAAGGTCAATCAATCCGGAACCATTGCCCGTTGTGATGAGCCTTCCTGCCCTGTGGGCTACTAGTGAACATGAGATCTCGATTGAGATTTACAGTGGCTTTATGATTGATGCTTTCTTTGCCTGATTCTAGGAATCTTATCCTACCCTCATGCTCCAGTGCTTTGTAATCTTGCCTTTTGTGTATAGGTGTGCTCTACCAGTAACTGAGTTTTGTTTAAAGTATTTTCTAGTCTCCATGTCTCAAAAAGTCAGACATCAAGGCCATTGTGCCATAAATCATGCATCGGAATATGCAGGTCTTAATTCTGCTTCTGGATTTTACCTGTTCTACTTCCATTACTTCCATCATTTTTATAATAAGTTTTTATAACTTTTAGGCAAGATCTTCTTACCTTCCTGAAGAGCAGTTTGGCTGTTCTTGTCTCTTTGCGTGCCTACATAATTTTTCGAATCAACTTTTCTGATTTCACATGCAAATCATTATCAGTCCATTTTTCATTGTTACATTGAAAAAACAGAAGCAGGTTAACTAGAAACAAATGAGCTTTACGCAGTTCACAGTTTTGGAAGTTCAAAGCCAGCCTTGTAAAGGCATTCCAAGTGTGTGACTTTCATCTGAGGCACGTGTGTAAGGAAAAAGTCACACCACCAATCAGGAGGCTAGACAAATTCAGACTACTTATCTGATCTCAGAAGGACTAAGTCCAAAGAGGAGACCAGCATTCCTGCATTCCTTTTTAAAGGCAGCATGCTGACGACCTCAGAAACTGCCAGCAGGCCCAAGCACAGGAAACTTAAGGGTTGAAACTATGGCACACGTTTATTCTCTCAGTATCACTCCCTCTATCTGTCTCTATCTCTGGCTCTTCTCTTCCATCCCTCTCCACTCCATACTCTAGAGATTATATTTAGGATTGTATATACAAATCAATTAAGGAGATGAGTCCTTCTAGAAATAGGCTGATGGCTTAATGTGGTATCGTTTGTGTTGTGCTGGTTCTGTTCCCATGTAGGAAAGATGTGGGGAGTTGTGGAAGCTTCCATCAAGTTTACAGTGAAAAGTCTGTGATGGCTACACAGTGTGTAGCAGCATCATATTTCATGCAGGAAGTCCTTAAAGGATCTATGTATAAAGCTATGAGAGTAAAGTCTAAACTGCCATGACCATGAGAACCATCAAGAGAGGCCATGTGTTTAGAGCTGTGCAGTCCCTTGGCATTCATATGATGCATGCCAATCATGGAACTCTAAGATTTAATTCTTGCTCTTCTGTTGGCTTTCAGTCTTGCTTTGGTTCCATTCCCCATAGATGAATTCCTCCCTGTTGGGATGGAACCTTATGCTCTGTGCTATTTATTGTATAGTAAAAACATCTAATGCTGTTTTTGATTTTATAAGGGGCTCACAACTAAGATAGCTCCTTGAGTATCAGTAGACAGTAAGCATGAACTTAGGTTATTGAGTATTGCTGGAGTTGTAAGACTCTCATGATTGAATCTAGGGTCTTTCACATTCTAGACTATCACTGAGCTACAGCCACAGATCTCCTTTTTACTTTTAGTGTGTGTCTCACTAAGTTGTCCTCCTAATCCTTGAACAACAGACCATGTTGAGGTTACAGGCATGAATCACTATGCCTGGTAACTGTGGAGACTCTTAAGTTTAACTAAATGCATTTTAAGGAAGTTGAGTGTAATAGATCAGGGTCTGTTACAGTTTCTCCACAAACATTGAGTCATTCAATGCTTAGGCTGATTGAGTTGTGTTCCCTAGGTTATAAAATCCAAGAAAACAACTTTCTGGGGTATTTTAACAATGGTACAAGCTGAGCTGACACATATGTAACTTTATCTAATCCTGGGCAATTTCATAAACTTTGTGGGACCACCTCCCAGTGAATTCTAGACTTCTCTTGTTTTCTATAAAAAATAAATACATTTCTTTCCCTCCCTCCCTCTCTCCTTCCCTCCCTCTCTCTCTGTCTCTGTCTCTCTCTGTGTGTTTGTGTGTATGTGTGTGTATGTGTGTGTTTGTCTTTTGTGTGTGTGTGTGTTCCTGTGTGTGTGTGCCTGTGTGTGTGTGTGTGTGTGTATGGACTCAGTCTCACTGGACTCAGGCAAGATGTTAAGCAATACAAAGCCAATCTGCCTTAAATTCCATTGCCTTCTCAGAGACCAGAGAGTTGCTTGTCCAGGGAGCCTTCATGCATGCTTCAGGCTAGGTGGCTCAGAATATGCTGTTATGTACTGTTTTTCACCTGAATTCCAGACTTAGGTTTTCAAAACACATGGTGTTGTCAATTTGACAGCTTATGATAAACATTTCAGCCCTCCCAGGCCACACTGAAGCAGTTTCCCTTAGCATGAATAATTTCCCTCAGTGAAGAGAATAATTGTCAGTAGATGATGGTAAAGCTCTGCATCAGAAATTCCACAGGACTCCTTTGTGATTCACCTATAGGGCCTTCCAGAGACTCCAAGCAGTATCCTTATACGACACTGACACCCCAAGTACCATAGTAGAGCAGCTTATACAGCAGCCTGGACTTGTTCAAGAGCTTTCTCCTGTTCCAGGTCTCACACAAAGCCATCAGTGTCTGAGTCATTTGGTAAAAGGGCTGGAGTAATCCACCCAAGTGAAGAATGTGCTATCTCAAGAATCCAAACAGGCCCACGTGGCTCTTCTTGGTGGTGGGAGAGGCCAGGTACAATAACTTATCCTTCACCTTAGAATAGTATATCTATATGCCCTACACCAATGGACTCCTAAGAATTTCACTGAGGTAGAAAGCTCTTAAAATTTGGTTGGGTTAACTATCCTCTGGTATACATATGTGCTACCAACAAGTCCAGAGTGGTTGCGACCTCCTGATTACTTAGTCCAATTAGAATGTCATCAATATAATGGTCCAGTGTGAGATTTTGTGGAAGAAATAGATGATCAAGATCCCTTTCACTATAGAAATGCGAAGATGAGAGGAAGCAGCCTAGAAGTCATATGTATGTATATATGTATAAATTTTATTTATCTGTATGGAGCCATACAATTATGACACTTGTAGGAATATGCATAAAATGGAGATTATAAGGTTAAGAGAAATAATCCAGACTGAGATAAATATTATGTACACTGTGGTGTGTGTGTGTGTGTGTGTGTGTGTGTGTGTGTGAGAGAGAGAGAGAGAGAGAGAGAGAGAGAGAATGTTACATGAAATTAGAAAAAGTAATGCTATGTGAAGGAAAGACTATTTGTAGAGTGGATGAGAATTACCCAGAAAAGAGATGAGGGAGGGTAAAATAAGAGCACAGTATAATGATATGCACATTGTTTCACAGTGAAACACATTACTTTGTGTGCTAACTACAAAACTTAATTTCATAATACATCAGTGCCCTTTCCTCCATAGCTCCCACTCTCCACCCATTTGCTGTTTACTTCTTGGTGCTTCAACAGTAGGAGTGGTGACATCAAACAATGATCTGGAGGCCTTTTTGGTGGAGTCTTTAGAAGCAAAGTCTGAGGATAAAAAGCTGCTGTTTGTGCCTTCTTTTCTCTGAGTGACAGTACATGCATTGCTAATATACATGAAGATTTGCTTCCCAGTCTTGATTGTTTATCTCTGAGGCTTTGACTGACATCCTCCTGCTTCAGAAGGAGGTGGCAGTGTTGGTCATCTGAGGACTTAATGGGAGTAACAAGGGCTACATTGAAAGACAGTGTCTGGAATCTCCTGGAGGACCCCAGGCTCACGGTTTTTAAGGATACAGGACTCAGGACAGTTGTACTCATGACTAATATTTATTACAGAAAAAAAAAAACACAAAGCAGCACCAGCCAAAGGCAAGTCTGAAAATAACTAAGGGCAAGCTTTTAAGAGTCCTCTCCTGTAGAGAGACACAAGACACTGCAGCAGTGAGTAAAACCTTCACATGACATGGTACATTATGGAAGGTCATTAGAGGCTCAGTGCTTGGAATTTTCACTGGGGGATAGAACATGCTAGAACCCTCCTCACAGGAGGAAAGCACACAGTATGCTGCCTGTACATGCTGCTGGCACATTGCACAACCTGCCTTTCAAGGAAGTTTTATGTCATTAAAGAGATGAATGGAAGCCAGCTCCAGTTTTGCAGGTCTTCTTACCTATAGTTAGTTCTGAGGGAAAAGAGTAGCCCAGTCTCATCCTTCTGCAGTCGCTGTTCTGAGCACTAGTTTCCCCTTCTTCAGATGCTATCTAAGTCACTTCTTCAGCTAAGGTACAGTCCATTCTTGACATTTGTTCCCCCTCTAGCATACAGAGTTTATTTACAGTCTACAGGGTATATATGCTTGGTATTCTCCCTCAACAAATCCATGGGTATTACTCAAAACACTGACAGGAATTAATTCAAATGTCTTGAAGGGCTGAACAGAATCTAGGAGTGAGGAGGAGATTTCAAGCACTATTTTCCCCAAGAGAATAGACTTTCCACATCCCAACAGAGAGTATCTGCTGGACACATTTGACCTAAGGATGTCACTTTGTAACTCCTACAAAAAAAAAAAAACAGAGACAAATTTTTACATAAATCCATTACTTTTCCAAAGAAGTATAGTACTTTTTTATTTACAGAATAATCATTTATATAACTATATGCCAAGGAACAAAATTTAAAAATACAAAATCTCAGCCTTGAGGATGCCAGCATTCTATGAAAAGAGGCCAGTATGATAGAATTCCACAATGTTTCAATAAATTCCTTGTTCTTTCATTGTACTGCACTAGGACCAGAAATTTATCATTTTACAGAGGAGGGTGTCCTTAGTTTCTACTGCAATTCCAGGATTATAGAGGCATTTGGCATGTGTCTGCTGAGTGAATAAATGAATGAATGGTACATTGATTACAAAATAGTATGTCTGTGTACCAGAAGAATCACTGGCGAAGGTTAGAAATGTGTAGGTCACTGGTCCAGAGTCCAGATGTGATGAATAAAAACTGCTTTTTAAAGAGCACAGGAATGTCTGTCCTGCACACAATTCATCTGAACACTAGGAGCTTTGGGCAATAGAGTTTCTTGCTGGTCCTCAGCAGTCATACAACCTCTAGGAATACTGGCCATGAGCAGTAGGAGCAAGTACTTGTGCTAGCAGAAGCTGGAGGTTGAGCTTTGCTGTGTTTCTGAACTTGTTGTCTAAGTATCTCCACCGTAACAAAGCCCAGGGCTTAATCTTAGCTAGAGTTCTGTTGATCCTGGCATGTGGGTCTGCTAGTTAATTTTCTAAGTTAGAAAGCCTCTCAAGTTCCTCATCTCCCATTGCCTGTATAGTAGTAGTATGGCCCTGTTTGCTAGTTTTTTCTCCATGGTCAAAATCTTATTTCTAGAATTCACTATAATTATTGAAGCTAAGGACAGTGTTTCTTTGCCCTCTGTATGCCACAGAGACACCACGAGCTAAGCACTCACTGAGTAAGTGAATACATGAGTTTAATTTCTTTGAAGCTTAATTTTAAACAATGTAAAATTAATTCCTACTTGTCTTTTTCTGTTGTAGCAGAAAGCGGATAGAAAGATTAGAAGTTGATCCCAGCAAGCATTCCTGCCCTGATGTGTCTACCATAGTGCAAGAGAAAAGACACAAACCCAAAAGAATGGAATCTCAACCCCAAGTTGAACCCAGTGAGGAAGATCCAGACTTTGATGACAACCCAGAAGTGCCTCCATTGATTTGAAACATGAGGCTGTGTTGCCATTGACTGTGACCTACAGACCCATGTTGCTTGGCGTTGGTAGTGAATATGTGTCATTCCTAGGGTAATCATAGCTCATTATCGTTTTACCTGATGTTATAATGCCTTCTTTGCATTGTAATATTCTTAAGTGAGTTTACAATTATATTACATACCTTAAATATGCTATCATTTATCACTCATCTATAACTGAACTTCAAGGTTGAAAATATGCAGTAATTTAATGCAACTATGACATTCAACATTAAGAATAAGTCATTTAATCTTTGCCTATGCAGTAGGTTGTATTATATGGTAGAGGATTTGAGCAAATTATTCAAACGCAGAAGTTAAAACTGCATTCTTGAGTCTAACGAAAATGCTTTGACATGATTTTAAACAGTGTTTTTCATTTTTCTTCTCACGTTTCTGCTTTCTCTAGTGGCATGATGTAATGGCGAGAATAAGAACTTTGACATTAGATTTCCTATATTTGGATTCCTGCTGAGTCACTGAATAAAGACTTTCAGCTGGTCTTTGATTTCCTCAGGATAGAGTGACTTCATCTGCACTATGCTAATAGTAACGATTACCTCATAGGTTATTCTCAAGGCCAGCCATGTAATTCACCCTATACGATGCCACTCTGACATTCCTTTTCTTGCTCACGCCATTCTTTGTCTTCTTTCTTTATAAAATGTGGCCTAACTGGAAACATTTTGTGACTGGGCTTTGAGGCTTCAAGATCCACATGCTTTCCTCAGTTTGTCTCTCTCTGCTTTCTGCTAGCATTTTGAGATTTGAGGTCTTGGCTGCTGCTCCAGCTTTCTGCCACCCTATGCTGTTACCCCTCTGGAACTGTAAGGCAGATAAACCCTTTCTTCTACAAGTTTCCTTGGCCATGCTGTTTTATGACTGAAACAAGGACATAATACAGAGGTCAGCAAGTGCTCGTAACAACTGAGCCATCTCTCTAGGCCCTGTCAGAGGTATGTCTTAATCTAATCATTGTGACAATCAATTTTACAGTCACAATGATACAGCAAAATTCAGGTAAAAGCTCACAGCTCCAAACCAAGCTCTCAGCCCAGGTGGATCAGAAGCCACAACTACAAGGTAAGTTGGCAAACCAGATGACAACAAATTAGGTGTGCTAGCCATATAATACCATAGTCCTTAAGTCAAGCAGCTATTACAATCATCATAAACAGAAACTTACAAAAGAAAGGGTTTATTTGGCTTTACACTTCTTGGTCAGAATCTATCATATGACAAGAACTCAAGGAAGGAACTGGGAAGCAAGAACAATGGAGGAATGTTTTCTTCTGCCTCTAGTCTATGGGTCTATGCTCAGCAAGCTTTCTTTTAATAGCCCAGGACCACCTGACTAGAGGTGGTGTCACACACAGTTGAGTGAATCCTCCTAAATTTTCTTGATTAATAATCAAGAAAATCCCTCACAGAAATGATTCAGGGCCAATCTGATCTAGATGCTTCTTGAGTCAAGCTTTCCTTTCAATGACTCTAGGCTTGAGTCAAGTTGACAATCAAAGCTAATTAGAATGCTCCATTTCTTGTTAACTTGACACACAAACACACCATTTTAGCCTCTAACTGCTCATTCTCTGTATGCAATATCTCATGTTAATATTCTCATATAAATCATAGTCTAACTTCTTCAATCCCACAGTCTTAAAAATGCAAATTGTCTCAGCTGTGGATTCCTGTAAACCTTTTTTTTTCATTTATAAAAGAAAATAATTGAGGCATAGTAAGTCTGGTCAAATCAAAGTCAAAATCCAACAGTGAAGATTTCCAATTCTGTAGTTCAATATCTCACATCTGGGACTCACTTATGACCTACTGTGCTGCAGTGTGCTTAGGCAGGTCCCTTCTCCACCTCTGTATCAGCATACACAACTTGCACTGCCGCTTTAAACTGGCTCCATCACTTCACACCTGACTCTGATGTTGGCAGGCATCCTATTGTTCTTGCTTTCTCAATGTCCCAGGATATGCTCCATTGCAACTCAGGCTACACCTTTGCCTTCGCCATAGACATCTTCTTGGCCTCACCATGTAGAGTCAAATCCTGCTGCACAGAGCAAAGTCTCATTCATCTTCTTTTCATGATCCTTTACATCCCGCAACTTTCATGCTTCTTAAAGCAATACTCTGTGGGAGACTCCTCTTATACTCCCAAATTCAGCTGCCATGACTTGTAGTTTCGGCCATCTTGGACCACAGCTTCTGTGCACTCATCCTGAGGAAAAGACTTTCTTATTGTTGAAGTGTAACAGAGAAGAGTTCACTCAAGGGTGCTGATCTCTTAGCAATCACAACTAGTTCTAAATTATCTGTCCATGAATCAGAGATTTTTTTTAACTTAAAATAATCACACCAATGGTCTCAGCAGTGTCTTTGTTTCCCACTATATTCTCAAAAGCCAGGCCTTCATAGTCTGTATTCTCTCAGAATTCTTCTCTTGTAAACTCCTACAATAATAGTTCATTAAGCTGTGAGAACTCAGTTTTTCTACCACAAAGTTCTGAACACTCTCAGAACCCTCTGACAAAACAATATAGCAAGGTTCACTGTAGCACTACCCAACCCCAGTACCAATTTCTGTTTTATTTTATTTTTTATTACTGTAACAAACACCATGACCAAAAGCAACTTGGTGAAGAAAGGGTTTGTTGGTATTATACTTCCAGGTTAGAATCTATCATACAGGAAAGTCAAGGTAAGACTTGAGATAAGAAACTAGAGGCAGAACCATGAAAAATGTTCCTTCTTTAGACATATACCCACTGCTTAGCTAGCTTTCTTATGGAATCAGGGCCATTTGCCTGGGATAATTCTACCCCAGGGAACAGGGCCCTTTCACATCAATTCACAAAGACAGTTTATTGTAGACATGCCCATAGTCCAGTCTGATCTAGGTAATTTTTTAACCATGGCTTTCCTCTCATATGACCCTAGGCTGTAACAAGTTGTTAAGTAAAGATAACTAGGAGAGATGGTGACTGATTCTTCACATCAGATTAGAATTGGAGAAGAAATCCACATTGTCATCACTCATATCTTGGAGTGTTGTACACAGGTAGTATCTTGAGAGGGTACCAACTCTCCTAGATACAGATGCTCTGGAGACTTAAAAATAAGGAATATCCACAACTTGGAATGCCTAGGTATGTTTGGCCATGGTTTCTCAGAGAATCTGGGAAGATCCTGGCTTTGTTTTTGGTTGCAGATGCACATGAATTGCATTGGTAAAAAGAATACACTGACAAGTACAGTCAAGAGAGGACTCAGTTCATAAAAGGTACTGTGGTTTGCTGCTTTATCTGTGGGAAGCTGTGAACCTGCCACAGAGAACACAGCCTGGGGATCACTGTGGAGCTCAGAGGCTTAGCCAATGGCTGTTCAGCATCCAGAACTGCCTCCCTGTCATAGTTACTGTGCTACTAGCCAAGGATGAGAACTCTGATCCCTAGGATTATGATTTGCTTAGTGTGATGGCTATTCTTCATTGTCAACTTGCCTACATCTGGAACTAACTAAAATTCAAATATAAGAGAGTACACCATTGAGGGATTTTTTTAAAACTTAATTTGAAATAGGAAGATCCACTTCTAATTCAGATCTTGCAGCAGGAAGATACACCTTCTGCTGAAAGCCTATACAAGAACACAGAAGAAGAAATCTTTGTCTCATTGCCTGCTTGCTTTTACCTTGTTAGCAAGTCCATTCCTTAAATGGGATTAGAGCCTTCTTCTTTGGTTCTCCAGTTTCTACTGAAGACTAACTGAGACATTCAGCCTTGTGGACTGAGCAACTTTTGGATTCTTGGGCTCATAAGCAGCCATTGCTGAAGAGCACATATATACATACATATATAGAATGTAGAACTATCTTTGGTTATGCTCCCAACCACTGAATCTGCTCAATTGTAAGCAATGAGCCTCTAAAAGTATGAGCTTAAAAAACCTTGTTTCTCTCTCTGGTTTCTTTGTGGAAACAGAACAGATGATATAAATGGTAGGTAATAAACAGCAACATATTCCAGTTTCCCATGTTCAGTGACCACAAAGCCTGTAAAGATAAGTGAGTCAGAGGATAGAGGGCAACAGAGTCCCCTTTCAGGTAGAGTCACACTCTAACAAAGAGGCTTTTCAGTAGAAGGATTGCTGATTATATTATTTGTAGGAAATAAAAATGTGTAAGTCAGTGTTCAATCAAGAAAATGAAGCCTCTCTAGGGTGATGAGAAGAAAGGGCTAGTTGTAGGAACACAGTCCAACCCATGTATGAGAGAACCCAGAAGCGAGATGGAGTATGAAGACAGAAGCAGAGGTACAGATCTGGAGGACCAGAATCTGCATTAGATGCTGAAGAAGAACCACAGGCAGGGAGCTGGTAGGTAGGTTGATGGAAACCATCCATCTACTAGAAGTGTTGTCCACACTGAGTGGCTGGGTCATTGGCTCATAAGCAAGATTGTGAGGTAGCTTTGCAGCCAGTGCTTGACTTGTTTTCACCAGTTATGAACATGTGATCAACTGAGGAAAAAAAAACAAGCTCTGATCTTTTTCTTAGCAAGCCTTTTATCTGGTACTATTTTCTGATCTGGGGAGATAGACACCTTTCATTTTCATACTCCTATACCATTGTCAGTATGCATATATTAAGATTTATTTGGCTATACATATCATTTCCATAGGGTATCCCTGGGAACCTGCCCTATTTGAACTATAATCTTCCATTTTCTTACCATCCCTCAGGTAGAAATAGTTCATTGTTATATGATCCTCTTAGCATAGTCAGACAGTCCATCAGCTGCTTAATTGCTTGCTGGTTCCCTGGTACAAGTGTGCTAAATGGCCAGAGTTTTTCAGCATCTAATGAGAAGACAGACTTGTACTCTGAGAAAGATGCTTTATTTTCTTTGAAACCCATATTCTAAGCCAGTATAGCTATCAGAGTTTTAGAAACATGGAGAAAAAGATAGACTGTGTGAACACTGGTACAATAATGAGTGGAATATCTTCATTTTTGACCTCTTAGTTCCAGATCCATGCATCTTGACTATGAGAGAAATAGCCTTTTGTATTACACGGGACTTATTAGCATAAGCTTTGTCCTAGAACATGACATCATCTGCACACAGTCTTATACCACCATTTAG